AAGATGAAATAGTAAAGATGTAGAATCTATGAGATGATTAGAATTGACCTGTAAACATAAATGTCAGATTTCACATAAAAAATACTGGTCATGTGTTTTGTTATCACGAATTTGTAATGATGATAAATTACTAGTTTAATAATGTAAATTAGAAATAAAGAATAACATTTTGTATCGTATATAATTTTTGATCGATTTAAATAAAATATTGTGTTTATATCTTATGAAAGTAGATTCGTTTAAATATTTTAGAAGTAGAATGATAGTGAAAATACAAGAAAATGCAGGCAACAAAATTGATACAATGCTTTGTTGATATCAAATCAGACAACATGTTGATAGTGTTTGGAATAAAGTATCGCGATATCAATTTTCACAAACATCTCGCTTCAAAAAAATTTATTATTTAATTAGTTAATGTGAATGTGTCAGGTCATAACCAAACACTTCATATTTATCATTTGAGTTTCTGAACTGTGGGAATATTTTTGACTGAAAATTTTTTAAAATTAAAAAAAATGTAATAAACGTATGTTGTTATCCAGTTTAAATTGAATGATACAAGTATTCATAAGTGTCAGAATATCTCAAGATGTCAATTTGTATTAATATCATATTTGAGATGACATAAACATCTAAAGCTGATATAACATAAAGATCTTACCCTGAGATAACATAAAGATCTTACCCTGAGATAACGTAAAGATCTTACCCTGAGATAACATAAAGATCTTACCCTGAGATAACATAAAGATCTTACCCTGAGATAACATACAGATCTTACCCTGAGATAACATACAGATCTTACCCTGAGATAACATAAAGATCTGACCCTGATATAACATAAAGATCTTACCCTGAGATAACATAAAGATCTTACCCTGAGATAACGTAAAGATCTTACCCTGATATAACATAAAGATCTTACCCTGATATAACATAAATATCTTACCCTGAGATAACGTAAAGATCTTACCCTGATATAACATAAAGATCTGACCCTGAGATAACAAAGATCTTACCCTGAGATAACATAAAGATCTTACCCTGATATAACATAAATATCTTACCCTGAGATAACATAAAGATCTTACCCTGAGATAACATAAAGATCTTACCCTGAGATAACATACAGATCTTACCCTGAGATAACATACAGATCTTACCCTGAGATAACGTAAAGATCTTACCCTTGAGATAACATACAGATCTTACCCTGAGATAACATAAAGATCTTACCCTGAGATAACATACAGATCTTACCCTGATATAACATAAAGATCTTACCCTGAGATAACATAAAGATCTTACCCTGATATAACATAAAGATCATACCCTGAGATAACATACAGATCTAACCCTGAGATAACGTACAGATCTTACCCTGAGATAACATAAAGATCTTTCCCTGAGATAACGTAAAGATCTTACCCTGAGATAACATAAAGATCTTACCCTGATATAACATAAAGATCTTACCCTGAGATAACGTAAAGATCTTACCCTGAGATAACGTAAAGATCTTACCCTGAGATAACACTTGGATCTTACCCTGAGATAACGTAAAGATCTTACCCTGAGATAACGTAAAGATCTTACCCCAAGATAACACTAAGATCTAACCCTGAGATCTTGCTCACTAGAGATTTGACTCTGATAGTTTGCTAAGGAAGTTTGAGTAAATAAATCACATGAAAGAAAGAGAATTTAAAGGTGTGTGGTAATGAAGATTTTTTTTTCAATTTCTGTTTTAACCAATTTGGAGATCTGTTATTGTTGCTGTTGTTTTAATTAAAATTTTAGATTTTGAACATGAATATTAATCAATTTTTCAATTGGAAGGCAAATAGTTTATACAATCTTTATTCGTTGACAGTAAAAAAGGCTAAATCATTAGACTTAATTTCTTTCTTTTTAATCAAAATTTTAGATTAAATATCAAACGAACAATATAATCATACTTATGAATCCGTGTTTAATTTGTAAAATGGCTGCAAATCAAAGTGCAATTGATCTTGGTTACCCACAAACACAATCATCTGTATTTATGTTTTTATTTATAAATGTTTAAGAGTTAGAATTAGCAATAGTAGACAAATGGTGATATTTTTAGAAATAAACTTACAATGTATAAATATAGGCCAATATAAAAATAGGTATGTTTTCTGTTTTCACTTCTGTTTATTGAATGGAATGTTTTAAATTCTAGTTTTTAATTAATGTCAAATATTCATGTATCTTGATTGGATTTGTTTTTATTTACAAATACCACACCAAAATGCTACATTGTTCACCTGTATTTGATAAAGCTGACAATACACATACAAAGTTAGGATGTTTTCTCTTCAGCTGAAATCGTGAAAAATTATGCATGATTACTGCTTGTGTGCATAATTAATATCTGGTTTCTGTGTATGGACAATCTTGATATCTGGTTTCTGCTTTTGTACAAGAGTGATGTCTGGTTTCTGTTTGTTGACAAAAATAATGTCTGTTTCTGTTTATAAGCAAAATGGATGTGTGGTTTCTGTTTGTGGACATAACAGATTGCCTGTGTCTATTTAAATCAATAATATGCTAGTTTTGTTAGTGCTGTCACTGAATTACCAACCCTTCCAACAAAAGCATTGGGGCCTTGCAGGGAATAAATATTAGTAGAGAATATTTATATATATATATATACACTGTATAACTGTAGATACGTGTGTCTGTTTTCTGATAAAATATATATATTGTGTTTGTTAACTGTTCCAGTCTGTTGAAAGAGAATAAAGTCCCTTAATTATATCAAATGTATTTTCTTGTTTTTGTGTGATCGATGTTGATCTGCTTTGTCAACATGTACATATATTTGTATGTATTATTAGTGTGATATGCCTTTTAAGGTCACCTAAGACAAAGTCTCGTGGTGACCTATTTTGATCACCTCCTGCATTGTGCATCCCTTAACAATTTTACATTTTCAACTTCTTCTCAAAAACGCTTTAACTGATTTCAATGAAATTTTACAGAAACCTTCCCTGAACCAAAAATAATGAATTATGTGGCCCCGACCCAACAGGGGCCTGAGGGGAGGGGCCAAATGGGGTCAAATTGACTAGGATTTCAAAAATTTTCTTAACACCAAGATATGGTGGAATTAAATACTCTTCATGGATGGAAACATCTTAAGGTGCTTTACTAAAATTGTGAATTTCATGGCCCTAGGGTCTCGCATTTCCTCGTAGAGAGGGGGGTAAATTGTACTATAATTTATATAGGAAAACTAGATTTGCTGGCAGACTTTTGTCTAGAGGTTTTCCGTTAACTGCAATGTCACGTTTAATTCATTTGAATTGTGACTCAGAATCTACACCTGTTCACTGGATGGAAATTCTTAGATCGATTGAATATCTTATTTGAGAACCTAATATTACTTACTTGGATTAACTAAGATTTACATGGCGGGTGTCGTTAACGAAGCAGAAGACGCTTTCTCTTCCAGAACACCTGGTCTTAAACTCCTTGTACTTTTTTCCGAAGTCTGCGCGTAAATTTTTCTTTTGTTAAAATTTTACCCTATGGACTTATTTAATTCTGGTTTGGATTATGTTGACATGTTGGTATTTTCTCGTCGTTTTGAATGCACCTCCCCATCTAAAATTTTAACATCTTTTTTCGATCAATTTTGATTTTCCTCAATCGTCTTTTATGTTTCAAATTTATTGCCCTGAGTATCGCTGACGAGTCCTAGAAGGAGAAAACAGCTGAATATGCGTTTCAAAAAATCATAATCTAAAGTTAAAATTAATGTGCTACTCACTTGCGCGTCTTTTGCTCAATTTACTAAAACCTTAGATTTTGAAACTTAAAACGAATATGAATATTCAAGAAATAATTGACAAACGCGTAACAAAAATTAATCCTACAAAAAAATAACTCAGTTTAATCAAAACGTATGATGCAATATCCCCTGCAAGACCATCTTAACTGATCGCACCTCCAACCTTCAAAATTGAGAGAAAATATAAGTTACTGCAACCGTGGAAATGTTTGCGGGGGTTAATTTCGCGATTTCTATGGGTAACATGTAAGCGTGGGGTTATTTTCGCGACCAATTTTCAATTTTTTTGTCTATAAGATTTAAGCACGTCACAAAATATTACATGCGGGGGAAATTTTCGCGATCTTAAGACATCCGCGCAATTAACGTCAGTTTCCCACTCGCGTAAATCTCCACGTTTACAGTAACCCGATGAATCCCGACGAATCGTTTAAATTAGTTAGAATTTTCAACTTTCATTTCCAATCTGAATATATTGTTGACCTAATATTTATGGAAAGCAACATGATTTGCCATATCTGAACAACGAACCACGGAAGTGCTATTCCTTATAAAGTCAGAAAGCGACGTCTTTGGAAGCAGGTCACCGCATGGCAAAAAATAGACAAAAGGAATGACATTATCTTATCATCCTGCAGAAATGGTGATCATTCCAAGTTCAAATGTTGGCCATAGCATTTTAAATGTGTGACAAATTTGTGTGAACTCGAATACCGTGATTTCTGCATTGACGGAAGGCCATTTTATAACATTTTTTATAACATTTTACGCTAGAGGTTAAACCAACGTTCTAGTGCACTCTGTTATGTGAACTATAAGAATCAATAGAATGAACGGTTGAAATAAAATATCTGTTACTCTATGGACGATTATCACGATTCCAGGGTTCACCCCCTATGCATTTCAAATCAACCTTTATCCAGAATATTGGCGTATTGATAATAATCAAGGTAGCATCGATTTATTTTCCTATTTTAGTAAAATGGAAAGCACAGATAATGATAGATGAGAATTTTACGTATCTGTCCTGTTTTTGTATGTTTTCCGTATGGTTATTGAGTCTCATTTGTCACAGCAGCGAAACAAGAAAGTATTCTTATGTTTTGAGTTGTGTTTGTATGATTGTAATTCTGAACAATATATAATTAAAATACATCAAAAAACAACAAAACATGACTTGTATTCAAGGAAAAGTTCATTAAGCAATACTTCATTTCATTTTACAAACTCAGCAAAGGAATGACGTCAGGAATTCGTCTATCTCCATCCTCGTGTCTGTTGCTCTCTGCACATGTTGAGGTAACTGCCTGTATTGTAAATAAAAATGAGACCTGAGATTACGACCAGTATTGTAATTAAGAAACTTGAGGTAATTACCTGTTGTAATTAAGAAACTTGAGGTAACTACCTGTGTAATTAAGAAACTTGAGGTAACTACCTGTGTAATTAAGAAACTTGAGGTAACTACCTGTGTAATTAAGAAACTTAAGGTAACTGCCTGTTGTTATTAAGAAACTTAAGGTAACTGCCTGTTGTTATTAAGAACGAAAACTGAGGTAATTGCCTGTATTGCAAATAAGAACGAGACCTGAGATTACAGCCTGTATTGTAATTAAGAAACTAGAGGTAATTACCTGTTGTAATTAAGAAACTTGAGGTAACTACATGTGTAATTAAGAAACTTAATGTAACGGCCAGTTTTAATTAGGAAACTTGAGGTAACTACTTGTTATTATTTAAAAAAAAACATGATGTAACTGCCTGTTGAAATTAAGAAACTTGTAGTAACTGCCTTTTGTAATTAAGAAACTTTATGTAACTGTCTGCTGTAATTAAGAAATTTGGGGTGACTGCCTGTTGTTATTAAGAAACTTAATGTAACAACCTTTTGTAATTAAAAAAACTTGATGTAACTGCCTGTTGTAAATTAGAAACTTTAGGTAACTGTCCTTCGTTATTAAGAAACTTTATGTAACTGCCTGTTGTTATTAAGAAACTTTAGGTAACTGTCTTTTGTAATTAAGAAACTTGAGGTAACTGCCTGTTGTAATTAAGAAACTTTATGTAACAACCTTTTGTAATTAAAAAAGCTTGATGTAACTGCCTGTTGTAAATTAGAAACTTTAGGTAACTGTCCTTCGTTATTAAGAAACTTTATGTAACTGCCTGTTGTTATTAAGAAACCTGAGGTAACTGTCTGTTGTAATTATACTTTAACATTGTTTTATTTCGATTTTGAATGTCATCTTAACAACCAAGTCAAGTGACAGATACATGTCGACACAAACAACTGAAAAGAACTCTGGCAAGGAAATCTTCAAGACCATGGGCGTTACAACATACTTTGCTTCTCCACATCCTACGTCTTGTGAGTAAAATTAGGCACCTCTTACACCAATGAGATAGATAAAGGTTCTATTTTTCCCAGCATTTGCACAGATTTCACATAAAGTAACGAAACTATACATAATGGAATGTTTACTCGATAAAAAAAAGCACGTCCATTATTTTATTGTCTATTTGTTCATTTTGTTCTTTTAGCATTAAATATTGTTAAAGATACCAGAATTAATATTGCTATCTGCAGTTTCCCTAAATAAATACGTAAAACTTAAAAATAATTTCACCTGACTAGGAAACTGCTAAGCTTAAGGATTTAACGTTGGGACGAAAATATACTTAGCATGGTTTCAAGCTTTGATATCATGAAGTATTCATAACGTAACGTGAGCGATCAGTTTGAGGGATGTCACTTCCTACCTTTCTCTATTTTGATGCAGCTGGACGAGTTCCCGGCGCTCCATCATTTTCTGAAACAAAAGACAAAAGAAATACCGTAACCTGTGTCTCCTGCGTAATAAAAAGTAAATGTCGATACAATATGTTTTTGGTATTTGATCTAGCTGTTGTCTCGCTGTGAGAGGGACCATTACAAAAGGAGGGGGTTACAATGTGAAATTAACCGTCATTGACAAATCCTTTTGGTATTTGATCTAGCGTTGCTGTCTCGCTGTGAGAGGAACCATTACCAATTTGGAGGGGGAGGTGTTCGGATTTAAAATGTGGATGCGTAATTAACCGTCATTGACAAATCCTTAGGTATTTGATCTAGCGTTGCTGTCTCGCTGTGAGAGGAACCATTACAAATTGTGGGAAAAACTTAAATGTTGATGTGTAATTTACCGTCATTGACAAATCTTTTAGGAATTTGATCTAACAATGCTGTCTCGCTATGTAAAAAATGATAATTTTCCCGGAGAAAGAAGCCTTGTTATATTGTTTGTATCCGTGCGACCATCTTACGTATTCCTTGTGCTTATTTCACATCCAAAACACTAAGCGATCTCAGTAATATTCAGCAAAATACACAACGTTTCAGGATATCAATTTGCATACTTTTTTGTACTTTATTTAACCCAGTTCTGTTTCCGCGTGATGATGTGGTCGCTATGTCAACCAAAATTGATACAGTATCTAAAGATATAGCTGCAAAAATCGAAAACGTATTTTAGCGCTATTCTTTCAATAGCACAATGATATTTTCGCTAATTACCGCTAATTTATATACGTTTACAATATTCGCTACACTAAATTTCACATTTCTCTTACATGTTTACCATTTACCTTTTGTATGAAGCCATGCTTCTTTTTTGAATAATTTTCCAAAGTCGAGAGCTCGTTTCAGATTTTTATCGAGACTGAGTTGTTCATGTGAGCTATCTTTGGTACGGGGTAACCAGAGGCCAAGGTTCCGGGTGACGTCTCTTTTCCAACCTACACAGTTGTTCGAACCTGTCAACATTGGAATATGCTAAATTTTAAAAAAAGACACGAGAAAAATTTCAACGTTTCAACGGACTTATAAGCCAAACTAAAATTAAATAATACCACGACAAACTATAAACAAGAGAAAGGTTTGCACGGAGATTAATGAAGAGAAGAACAAGACCAGGTGTTCCGGAAGAGCAAGCTTCTTTTGCTTCATCGACGAGATCTGCCCGAGTATGTCATTTATTTAATCATGGTCCCTATCTAGGAGTTGGCATTCTGTCCTTTGTATAATCAGGTCTGTATTAATTTGAATTTTTCCTTCTTTGGTCTTCCATCCTCTTATCTACTCCGAACACTGAGCATAGACAATAAGACAGAAGTGGAGACTGCATAGACAAGTATTTATAACTGTCAAAACAAAAGATGGTCTACCATCGGCCATTTTTGTTTCAGATCGATTCCAAATAGGACAACGAACGACTTAAGATTAAGAGGAACATATCTAAGACAATTGAGATTGATCCCTGCAGTTATCTATAAACTACGGAAACGAACATTGCGATCAATTTATCATCTTGTCTCTCTCTCTCTCTCTCTTTTTTTTTTTTTTTTTATCTAACTCAACATTGCTTAGTCAGCTTCAATATAACAACTTAAGCCAACGCGATGAAAAACAAAATGTACGCAAAATGCCAGTTAGTGCAGATACTCCATGGACACTGTAAACATTGTTACGTCATCTGTATTTATAAATGTAGACAATGCATTTTTATATGAATAAACTTATGAGCATCAAAATGGGGTGCAACATTAACTCACATGTGTACTCTGAGCATTTTGGTTCTTGAGAAGAAGTCGTTGAAACACATTTGATTCCTTTGACCTAAAACCTTGGTCAACGTCTTTTCAAAAAAAAAAGTTGCTAATCCCTTTAACACAGGCAGAATGCTACTTGCTTTTACGGAGAAGAAATTAAGGCATTTGACGCCTGTGGTCTTGGAATATCAATTATTGTAACAAACTTAGAAGCCCTTTATGTCAACACGCTGCACATTCAATATCGATATCCTGTGCCGATTAAATGGAAAAATTCACAGCATATGAAAGTTAAAAGACGTGAAATAGCGCTTTTAAAAACGAATTTAGAGTTAGATACAGTAGAACCATACAATGGGTTGTGCCGGGGACTTATTTCACTTGCACGCTATGCAGGTAGGGCGTAATTGTACCTGCTGCCACAAATGCATGATCACAGAAAGCGACTGAACTTAGAATCTTTATATATTCATTCTTTTCTAGAAACCTTTCGTCTTCCAAATGTCTCCATTGTCATTGCCATATTTCAGGTATTTTAGTTGAGCGTGCGCCCTTTTGAACAAGACTTCGAGTTTTGTCCCCAAACCAAGACATACTAGAGACTTTAACAATGGTAGTTACTACCTCTGCTTCTCGTTCACCTGTTGTAAAGATATTATTCGTATACATTTCAGTGTGTTAGCGCTATAAAGTCGCCTTCAGTTTCGCACAACTAGGAGGTTTACACGAACACATCGACCCAGCCAAAACACATATGCAACATATGGATTCACCTTGCATACACCGAAAGGTCGTCGTTAAATGACCGTTGTTGTTGACCGGACATCAAGAAATATATACTAAACTAAAGCTCGCTTGTTCTTCGCACAAATTAGCTTACAATAAACATAGACGTGTCATGTAAAATGTATTGAATGAATAGGACAGGTTGGACAGTCTAAGATGTGTCAACTGTGTCCTTTATGCAAGTTGATTAATTGAAATTTTTAACGTTCGTATAGTATCAATGCGATTGTAGTAGGCCTACTTACAAACACCACATGAAGACTGACAGTTCTTTAACATGTAGTCAGGATTGATAAAACATTGCCCAGAGTTCGCCCAGGGTACACACTCGGAGCTGTAGTCGATACAACCTGAAGTACATGATATATAAATAAATTGGATTATTACATTTTAATTGTGCAAAACAAAACTCATAGTTTAGATTTATATTATTTCAATTGTTTTTGTTTCATAAAAATGTATGAAAAATATCAAAAGACAAACACCGACATGTTGATAGAAATTTAATTCAAATACAAATTTGATAAAACTACGGTAAAACAAGAACAATAGAAAGGTTTACACGGAGACTCCTTAAAAAAAAATCTACATAGAATAAGACCAGGTGTTCTGGAACGGTAAGCGTCTTCTGCTTCATCTAGTGTTATTCTCTTTGTATTTTTTTCTGTATTCTCCGTGTAATTCTTTCTTTTGTTCATGCCTTGTCTTAATTTTGTTGAATTTGAGTTTGAATTACGATTACGTTCGCATGTTGGTATTTTCATGTTGCTGGAGGCCCATCGCAGAGCTTCCAGAGCAAATAAGATCAATTTTCCTGTCCAAGGACAAACTCGCATTACCACAGTTGTTTCCGTTTCTCAGCTTCCCCTAAAGCACAAACCGCCAAGGGTTGGGAGCATCGAGCAAACGGATTGTACCTTTATTGGGTCTTTCGAACGGATTGTGTTTTGCTTACTTATTTATTCATTTATTTATCTTTTTGTAGAAATACAAATATTACATTTAATCAATGTAACTTTGTGTTGTTACATTGTAGCTGTTGAAAGAAAGATATTGTCAAAAAGTGAAATATCACATTTAAAGGAATTGAAATCTACTTACACAGATTGCACGAATACTGGCAGTTGATGTGCATATATTCCGGATTTACATCACACTCCCCAACTCTCGCCCAGTAATCGCATAATTCGTTATTGTCACAGCAACCTACGAAACATAACACGTTAATGATGGCGCTGGAAGACTGGACAAGACACAAGTGAATGACACCTTCCGATACAAATTTAGAATTAGATACAGTAGAGCTAACCAGTTCATTTGACTGTATCATTCAGCTATTTCGCCCTTCTAAGATTCCTCAGAGATGCTTAGGGCCTAAACTTTGAAGCCTAGGAGACGAAAGAAGAAAATCCAAGCTCACAGAAAGTAGTCAAAATCTAAATAGGGAGTTGTACTAGCCCCATAATTGAATACATTTCGTAATTTAATAAATCAGATAATTTTAAAATGATTTCACGTGCATGCGTAATTGTGGCATACAACTAACGACTTAAAGTCCACCAGCAGTGTATACCAACGGTCCAGGGATTACACTAGTATATATGTCTAACCGGTCACAAACATCTCAGAAATCATGATTTTGACAAGAATATATAAATGTTTATGTACTGGATAACTTATAGATACAATCTATGGTTATGTAATATCCAACATCCGGTATTTCGAAATTTTCCTCATGTTTCCGCAAATATGTTGTTTATATACCATATAACTGCCATTTCAATATCTATATCTTACTTACCTGAGCCTGCATACGGATCGGTCATTCTTCTTAGTGGAGTTTTTTCTGTGTATAGAGTGAATTAATACATGTACAATTTTAGAAAAACAATGATTCACTACAAAAGAATTTCCAAAACGGTTGTGATACTATCATGGAGTGAAAATAACACAAAATAACCAATGGTATTTTTACTCAAAATTGACCAATCAGATCACATTATCAACACTGAAAACATGAAGTTTTCTCAAGAGTGCATTCTGGTACCCTTCAGGAATGACAATTCTGGTAGAAATTGCGAAAACATAGCTCTATAAAATGAGAAGAAACTTTAATGTATTATATGAACTTTAGTCAATTGATAACTATCGTGTTTCTATTTAAAGACTTGAGTGAGGTTAATGACAAAATTCCCGCATACGGAAAAAAAACATGAAAGACTCGCTATTCATCAAGACACAAAAATATCTGCTACAGATATTTAAACAATACCGTGTATTTTCTCAGCGTATAGTTGTTATAAATTGCAGTCTGGACGGCATAATCAGTGGATATTTTTTTACAGTATAGACCGTGGTTTAATATAGCAGGTATTTCTCAATAAACTTTTGATACTATAAAAAATAACATTAATAAAAATCAGCGTTATTACGTTGGTTATAAACAACGAATATTGAAGTATTTACTAAAACATTTTTTTTTTATTTTTTATGTAAAATCTAATCTTAGTGAGTTGTTTAAGAAAAACAAGTAACAAAATAAATTTTAAATACTGACTTTCAAACCATCAAAAGATTTCAATATTTGATAATATACCTTGTTTCGCGTGTTTCTGAAGGGTATCCCTGACCTGAAGGATCTTACTTATAACATTCCCGAGACTGACTTTAGATGATGGAACGGTCTTATCGTCCAACGGGTGCTCATCAGTCTGTGTCAGTTCAGAGGCGTAGATAATCGGAACCAACTAGAAATAACAACAGTCGACGGTTGAGAACACTTAATCGGTAAAATAATTAAAAATTATGAATTTACAAAAAAAAAAAAAAAAAAACACAAGAAAGATAAATATGCCCGGCTGCGTAATAACAAAACATTGATCACGAGTTTGATAATATGTCTGAAGACAAAAGGAAATTCGTGTGAATACAAACCTATTCAGAGTAACAATGTGGACACTGATCTATTGAAAACATAAAACTTTTAAGGTCTTTATCATTCGAATTTCTTAAATCGTCTAAACTTTCATCCCTGCTGAAGATTTAAGGTTATTCAACTTTTTTACCCTATCAAGGCCCTGTCCTCTGCCCCCGGGGGTCAGGCACACCGTTGATACAAAATTGAATCGCCTTCACACAGTAATGTTCTAGACCAAAATTTTGACAAGATCCTGCAATCTTACAAAATAAAACAGATTGCTCATAATTTGCAACATTCCGCTGTTTGGGCCCAGCCCCACATGCCCCTTTCTACAAACCTTCTGCTAGAAAAAACAAACAAAAAAACAAAACAAAGTACAAAAAATGTTGGAAACACAGACAGCCATATAGATGCAAATATATTTACAATAAGTGAGAGAGAAAATAAGATTTATAGAGACTTACTGCGAGCAGCGCCACCACCGTCATCCTGATAAACGCCATGTTCACCTGATAAGAATGAAGCGAGATAAATGTATCCGCTTGCGAGAGTTTGATATTTTATACATACTGAGATAAATGAACTATTTGACATCTGTAAATCTACGTGAACTTTCAGGAAATTGTTCATTATATATAATTATGTCTGTTCTGAATGTCAAATACAAGTGTAATATGTGGAAATAGCAAAAATGGGGCGTCTTCATACAAAGTAGGAAAAATCTGTTTTCAAATCCTGTGGTGGTATTTCCAATTCTCCGTCATCGTTATAATTTATCGCTGATTTTCTTTTCTGTTCCTTGGCGTATAACTATTTATAATCAAGCCACAACATAATGGCCGTCCATAATTAGGTCCAAATTATGTTCTTTTTATTTTGATTGTCTATAATTATGATTTTCCCAAACACGTTTTTAAAACATACTCAGCCCTTACAGAACAGGACAACATCGGGAGTCAGCGTCAGAAAACACAGACAGAGCAGCAAAAGCACAATATAACACAAATTGTTTACTTAACGTCTTTAGATGAAATTAAAATAAATAAAAAAGAAAATACATTTCTTTTTAAATCTTAATTTATTTTCCCTTTGATCATATTTTCACTTGTACTCAAAAACCAAATGTTTGTATTTATCGATATTTACAGTCAAGTTCATTAGGCCTGCGCGAAAATACAAGATACAAAAATTAACAGATTGCTAGTTTCAAAATAGGTGCCCCAACAATTAGTCGCCTCGTTACGACAGGTAGCGAGATACATTCGGTATATTCATTCCTCGATACCTACATCGGTTGCGCTGTGGAGCGTCATTAAATAGAACGAACACTTAATTAAAGTCGAGCTATAGAAAAAAAAACAAGAAAATACCAACATATCAACATAATTTTAATCTAAACTCAAGTCAATAAAACTAGGGCAAAACGTGAACAAAAAGAAAGATTTCCACAAAGATTCCTAAAACAAAGTACAAGGAAGAGACGACCAGGTGTTGCGGAAGGATAAGCGTCTTCTGCTTTATCGACAACACCATGGAAACCTTGGTTAATCCAAGTAAGTATGTCACGTTCTCAAATAAAAAAAACAAGGTATAAAACAATGGAACCAATAGGCGAACACTATGACGACCTTAAAATTTCCCCATAGATTGGAAAATATACGTGAACAGCTGTTAAGTTTGACTCGAGCACGAGAGGTATTATACAACGCAGTGCATGTGAATTGTTCGGGAGGCTGGGAAATGTTAATTTCGTGATATTGCGGTTTTGTTTTAAGTTATATTGCTGATTGTTAACAACTAGGATCGGTTAGGAACGGCCTCTCGGTGTATGCAAACCGACTTTTAAGTGCTACCACACGGAAGTGTACAGCCGAAGACATATGCTAGGACACCCCACCAAGAAACATAGACTAACAACGGGCTGCCCAGGTCTACAGACAGTACAGTACAATATGGAGATTGACAAGTTAACGAAATCTTCACTCGCGCACACAGAGACACTGACCTAGTTAGATCTAGAAATACTGTTGTAACAGCTTGCTCGTTTCGAATACATCTGTGTCTATTTACGAAAGTCACAATTTCACAGATGGCGTTGTTGTATCACAGCACGAGCGGTCTGTTATTAGCACTACCAGATTGTGGAAAAGTCCTTCCTTTAACGTCGCAAAAACCGTTCTGTTTTAATACTGGAAACAGATTCATGTTTCCTGAAACCTGTCTCGAGGTGTGAAAATTTAACCACGTGTACATGTACATTACATGTGTCTCCTATACAATCCCATTCAAGGTCACGTGACTTGATCATGGTCATGGTGACCTAATTCGATCGTTCTCTGTCCATCAGTCCGTCCGTCCGTCCGTGTGTTACATTCATTTTCTGAACACAATTGTTTACGTTACTATGCAATGATCAAATTTAGTCTGCATCCTTGTACCAATACGATGTCGGATGAGTTTGACAAAGAGATCGATTAGATCAGCATATGCATACATAATGGCTATTTTTAGTTTTTATTTTCATTGGACCTTGTGGTCACGATCACTTGATAAAACAGGAACATATTTTGATGAAACTTCACATACCGTCTTTAGTTAATTTTAAATTAATTACTTTGATGAGCTGTTCCACAATGGGACCGATTTACTTGTTATTAAAGAGTTAAAGACATTTGTAGTTTATTTCCATGCATCACGTTAACATGATTCTTTACATAAATATAAACAGATTTTTATGAAATTTGGAATGCAGTCTTATATCAAAAAGGTTTTGGGTGAGTTGTAATTTCCTAAAGTAATTGCAGGCTTATGGCCCTTTCCTACTTATATTACTATTTGACCTTGTGAACTTGGGAGTAGATCTGAACTGGGTTTTTTTTTATCAAACTTGGTGTGCTGCCTTATATAAATCAGATTTCAGACGAGTTCAAAAATTGGACTGATTTAGAGTCATGGTCCTTTGCATTGTTATCATCGTGGGCCATGTTGACACGAAAATCTGAATAAAAATGGACAGATTTTTGATAAAACTTAGCACACAGTCATCTATCATTAAGACCTGGAATTGTTCAAATTGGACCAATTTGATGTAATTTAGCGTAATGGCGCTTGTATTTCAATTTCGGTTGAAATTAGGCAGGTGACCGTTTGCCGCTATGGGCCAATTGTTTGACATTTCAATGACGTTGGAATTTTCTTTGTCTCCTACATTTAACATTTACAACGTTAGTGACAAGTTTTAGAACTATGAATAGACTAAAGGACTAGGGGGGGGGAGGGGTCCACCATCTGATTATCAAATAGAGGCATGTCCATGAATTACGTGATTGAAGACATGGCATTCAGGTTACGTTAATCCCCAAAGACTGAAGTTTACATGTAATGTTTTCAACCTGCAATCGCAAAGAATGTACAAAAACACACAAGTGAATATCACCAATTACTACAGGGTTTAGTTTTTGGTCTGTATATCGTTTAACATCTTGTTATCATCTTTGTCCATTAAACAATGTCTCCTTATGCGAGGTGCGAGTGATTGAGTCGATAGTTCGTGAATGCCTCCTTTTGATGTCAATTTTATAGTGCTATCACACTGAAATGTACCAGTCTTACTCATTACCTGTCAGGCATAAATAAAAACAGAAAATACGACAATTTAATAAAAACGTAATCGAAATTCAAAATAAATGGCAAAGCAAAATAAAGATTAACACGTAGATCCAAAAAGCAAGATGAGAATAAGACCAGGTGTTTCAGAAGGAATGCAGTTTTGAAGTTAATTTTTTAGAGCTAAAAATGACCTCATTGGCAAATTAGAACTGCTTCGGCATTCTAAGACTAGTCAGTGAATCTAAGGGCTTGAATTGTTAAAACCAAGGAGACAACTGAGGAAAACATTTCATTATCACACGACTGCTAGGATTTGTCATTTTATAAAGTTATTAAATAACTTTTCCAAACTACACACGTGTAACGTATATCGTAATTGATTTAATGTCATATAAACGACACACAAAATAACATCTCGGGGACTCGGGGGATCTTTCCCAATACGAAAGAAAAGCAACTGACACTTTCAACAACAAACACGTGTAAATGGATTCAAAATTCAAAACAGTGTTAATAAATCGGCCTCAATCTGACCTTTAAAGCCAAAAGCACATGTTCGATGGAAAATCTCCGGTGACACTTTTCACGTATCAACACGAGCAACGTGTACTAGCAACGTGTGTAATTTAGCTAAACGTTTCAGTTGTGCTGGTATGATAAATGGAATATGACATTTCAGAGAAACAAACAAGTTCGTCGAGATCGTTTCGAGGGGTGCAAAGTTGGATCCACGCTGTTAACAGTGACGTCAAACCGGCAAGCGATTTTAAGGCGAGAATCCTTATTTGTCATAAACTATAAAAAGATAAAAAAAACTTTCACCTAAACATGGATGGCAAGAAAAGGCGGTGTTGTGCAAAAATTGGATTTGAATTCCATCTCCTCATAACTTAAAAGAATCGGTCACGTGCATCACTTTGATTACGTCATTGTCGTCATCATCGTTTAAAGATTGTTTCTGAAACATGTATATCGTCAGCGACTAGAAAACTCCTAATACGGCCAGTTTGTCTATCATTTTCTGATAATGTAAAACCCCATTTGACCCTCTCTCTGCCACAACAGGTTTTGAAGGTGCCGACGTTTTGAGTTGATGATGTCGCATAAGACAAGGTTCTGTTTTTGCATATTACCGTTTAGATTTTGACTTTGATCATGTAGGATTTTTCTTAGTCGCCTCCCAGGTTTCAAATTTAAGGTCCTTAGCATCAGTGACAAGTCCTAGATGGGCGAAACAGCTGTATGATGCAGTTAAATTCATCGTTTGACTCTAATGAATCTCACTCTAAATCATGAAATGGTGCCATTAACTTTTATATAATAATAAACTTTATTTATTTTACAACAATTGCGAAACAAGTTATGTCAACTGATACTAATCACTCTTGCTGGCTCGAATGTAAGCGCGCGTGGGGTCTTATTGGGCCATTAACTTGTATGTCTTTTGTACAACCTATTTAAAGTACGTTCTAAATTTTAAGGAATCAATTCAAACTTCTGTATCTTTCATTTCCCCTTACAATCAGTTAGATATAGGACGAGAAGGAACACTTATGTGTACATGATTTGAAGGGTAATGCCCGTTAATCATTAGAAATTAGTGTTTATTTGCTAAACTAGAAATATATATACACCTGTTTCAGAATTCATGTATACCTTTAACTCAAAACATTAAGTGTTTAACATTTTAGTTTGAGTCTGATGACTTTAATACTCAATATGCTACAAACAGTACTAAAATGGAAAATAGACATTTCATAGCCAGCATATTTGACCATGCTGTAATGAAACTAAAACCGGATCACAAAGTGTTGCAATTCAGTTTTAGGTCAACTGACTCAAACGGTTATCAAATTACTTCTTCTTAATCACCGAAAGGCCCAGAGTGCTGGTATTCTACCTGTAAAATGATTGGATGG